AGTGTGGATACGACCTATGGCGTGAGGCCATTGACAGCAACTGCCCCTGATTTCCATCATCCGGCTACGCCATGGTGTGTCTTCAACTGGTGTCTACGACTATAGATGTATTACTAGCTAACGCAAGAGCAATCCTGTTTTTCGGCAAGCTGGCGGCACTTGTGATGACCCCTTCCGGAGTCAGTCGCGTGTGGTGCGTATGACGTTTACACTGCAGATTGTTGCTAAAGCTATTCAAGAGGACGCATTGGTCCTCGATGAAAGGTGTGCATCTTGCGACTTTTCCGATATGCACTCTCGACCTGGCGGAGCTGGTCAAGAGCCACACCAAGACTACACGACAGATGTGCGGGCTACAATAGAGGAACAATTCCCTGGAACTATTCCTGCTAGTGTAATTGTGTCTTTGGAGTTTAATACCAGACTCCGCGTTTTCACGGGATGTTTTGAATGTGCAAGTGCTCGAAGACAAGCGGTTCATCGTGTACAGCTTACCGATCAGCTTTTCAAATATTGTGGACGTACTGATGTCGACGCCAAAGTCGAACATGATCATGTTCCTCATCGTTCGCATCATGTAGGTACAATTGTCGTTGAAATACTCTTCGAGTGCGGATACGACCTATGGCGTGAGGCCATTGACAGCAAGTGCCCCTGGTTCATCATCCGGCTACGCCATGGTGTGGCTTCAACTGGCGTCTACGACTTTAGATGTATTACTAGCTAACGCAAGAGCAATCCCGTTTTTCGGCAAGCTGGCGGCACTTGTGATGACCCCTTCCGGAGTCAGTCGCGTGTGGTGCGTATGACTTCTACACTGCAGATTGTTGCTAAAGCTATTCAAGAGGACGCATTGGTCCGCGATGAAAGGTGTGCATCTTGCGACTTTCCTATATGCATTCCGACCTGGCGGAGCTGGTCAAGAGCCACACCAAGACTACACGACAGATGTGCGGGCTACAATAGAGGAACAACTAGCCGTTCGCTGCCGCTACGCGGCGGAGTGGCATGGTTTGTTGGAGATGAGGTGGCCGCAACCTTAGTGCTTCTTGGTGTCGCGTGTTTTGAGAGCGTGGTTCACCCCGTAGATCTTGGCATCGTGTATTTAACCACTTGCCTTCCGTAGTCTCATTCGGCCCCGTATAATATCGTGGTTTGGAACGTTTCCGTTACCCCGTACTACAGGTTGGGTGTTGTTTTCTTCAATGGTCCATGCTCTTTCGTGCTCTTCCCGGCTTCGAGGTTCCTGCTCACCCATGGCCCACGCTGCTCAGCGGTTCTGTCCTCTCTCTTGTGGGTTCATGCTCTTTAGTACGGCCTTTTCGTTAAAGCTAACTGTTTTCCGTTCTCAAACGTTTACGTGGGTTGCACTGGCTTCGTGGTAGATACTATTTCGTTACCATTGGCCTTCCATCGCCGGTGCTCTAACCAAAGGGTGCTATTCCGTGCTTTGGTGCCTCCATGCAGTCGTGGTTCCGTCGCCCGTGCATCGTGATCTCCTGATGAAGTGTCATCGACCGCGGAATCACGCTATCGTGCAATCACGGTGTGGTAATGCTGTCTATGGTATTGTTTTAGCGTAGTGCATCTGCGTTGCCCGTGTTATCGTGTTCTACAATGGCATCGTGCTCCACGGTGTGCAATCATGGCCACCCCACACGTGCCCCCTCCCTCTCCCCCCCCCCTCGTGTTTTTTGTGGCTGGTCCGACGTCCGTTAAATCGTGTTCCCATGTACTACGGTTCTCCGTGGCTCGGTAAGCTCAGGTTCTACACTTGTATCGATCTCCGCGGCTCGAAGATTTTCTGACTATAGCTCCGCGGCTGCGTTCTCCCATGGCATAGTGGCCCAGACCATACTATCTAGTTATCTTGTGGTGTCCCGGTTGATCTGCCGTTTGTGCTTACGTATATTACCGTGCTTCGTGGTCTACCGTG